GGGCTGGTTGCCTGGGGGAGCGGGGCCGTGGGGCGGGCGGAGGCCTCGGACTGGGCTGGGGCCGGAGTCGGGCCGCGGAGCAACTCGTGAAATCTGCTGAGTGGAGCCGGGGGGAGGAACATCCCTCAGCTGGGGGCTCGCCGGGTTTATCTGCCGTTTGCTTCGCTCCCGGCGGTGTGGCCGCAGTTCAGAGAAGACGGGAGGCATGTTGGAAACAAAACATGAAGAAAATGGAATTTAAAGGGATTTTTTTTTTTTTAAAATCAGCAGCGCTTGCTCTCCAGAGTTGGTATTACGTGATCTCAGATGACTCATATCATCCTGCCGAATTCCTGACTTGATTTTGAGCTTGGGAGAGAACATATTTTGTATTCTTCCAGGGCTTGCTCATGCCTTGTGTTACAGCCACATCGTGCTGTATTTGCTTCCAGTTCCTGTTAGTGTGAGCCGTCTCTTGAGTTTACGTTTTAAAAAGTCATTTCCCTTCAATTATAATTTTTCTGATGGATTTCTGGTTTCCTCCTGGCTTGCTGGTGTGGTAGTGCAGGGTGGAGTTCAGAGGAAGTCACCCTGATGCCGTGGCTCGGCTGTGCAGAGGGAGCCGTGTGAAGAGACGTTGTTCAAGGATGTTTGTAAAAACAAATCCTCATATGTGAATTTGTTTTTGCAGAACCGCTGCCGAGAAAAACAAACCCTTTGAGAAGAAAATGACTGGTACTAGCACTGAATGAAATATACTCAGATGGTTTAGGAAATGAAATAAATGTAGTGGGAGGGGGGTCTCCCCCTGGCAAAAGAAGAGCCCCCCAACTAAACTGTTGGTGTTGGCTGCTTTTCATATTGTTCAAATGGTTGGAGAGATGGAAGATTTTAGACTGTGTACTGAAGATCCTCAGACTTTGTGGAGGCCAGAAGGGTTGATGTGGTTTTTAGACAGAGCTTACTGGCACATGAGTTGCCTTTGTGTACAGAAAGAAACTCATTGAAAGTAATTTTATCTCTGATCATCCTCTGTGGAGCTCCTGCTCCACTTCTTCCATCTTAGGAGGAAGCAAGGTGTGATGTTGCTCTTCAACCTTAAACCTGCTTGTCTTAGGGTCATGGGTGGACTGTTAAATCTCAAGAGCTTTACAGTTTTTTAATACTGTTATATTATGTGGCCCGAACTTTGGTTCATTCAGCCATCTTTCTTCCTCCTTTATTAACTGTTTAAATGATCCTTTTATTACAGTTGCCTGAGAGGTCATTTTAATGGCTGGGCTCTTTTTCCTCCTTGTCTTTAAGTGCTGCTATAATACTGTCCTGTCCATTCAACCATCTGCCCAAAAGAAAGCAAAAAAAGACATTGGGGGGCATAGCTCACATCATAACTGCTGTTGAATGAACTGAATGTATATGTAGCATCTAAACCCCTGTCTCTTATTTTGTACAGTGTGTGGGAGTAGCACAGGCATGTACACCACCACCAGATTTCAGTGGGTGTTGTACAGGGTAGCACAGAGCAAAGTGGTAAATGTCCAAAGGAAATAAAACTACAAAGATGAGTGACGAAGGAGAAAGCAGGATATTCTTGTTATGGTAATGCGTGCTTTCAGTGATGCATAATTGTTGCAGCGAAGTTATGAAGGATTTACTTGTTGCCCTGTAGACTAACCCTGACGTGTACTTGGATCGGGCTTGGAGGATCTGTCAGTGTCCCTGTTACATACATGTGCGTGCAATTGTTCTTGGAACAGCTCTGGGAAATTGTGTTGGACTCCTGTGATAAAATCTACTTTTCAGCAATCTGTTCCTCTCTTTTAAAACTCACTTTGGGCCAAAACAAAATGTCAGTAAGACTTCACTGAAATTAAATTTTTTAAATAATTGGCATTAGACGTAGTTGTCATTTGTCCAACAAACTTAAGCTTGTGTTCTCTTTATTTTAAGCTTGATGTTTCAGCAAGTTTGGTACATTTTTTGTTTTGGTTAACAGTAGCCCCACTATAAAGAAAGCTTTAAAAAAAAGGCACAAAACCAGACACAAAAGACTCATTCCATGGTATTTCACCCAGCAAGGGTAGAGGGGTGATTTAACAATACCAAACTACTTGCATATTGTATAATTGAATGTTCTTATTAAGGTCATAAGTGTTTCTAGATTTACAGTGTTTACTGTAAGAACTGAAAGGCATTTACTGTGTTTGTGTCTCAGCCTTTCTGAGCTGGTGCAGGTAACTCCAGCTGTTCCATAATGTTGCTGTTACCCCAGCAGTTCCCAAACTGGGAACCTGTGGTGGAGCAGACCAGTGGTGAGTGGCTTCTGAAGGAGGACGTAGTACTGTAACCAGCTGCGGTGTGAGACCCAGGCTGCTTGGAGGTCAGCGGGGGCAACTGTGAGCAAGCAGATCCCCTTAGGAGGGGTATGTGGTACAAATAATTTGGGAAATGTACTCGTTTAGTTTCTTACTTTCCTGGTAGTTAAGGAAAGGAGAAACAGTGGTTTCCCAGTCAGCCCATGAGTAATGTTACTTTTCACTTACAGCCTGTAGGTTTCTGTGCAGTCTCCTGCCAGGAGATGGGATGGAGCTGAGTTCAGGGCCCTTGACAGGCATTTGTTGCAGAAGGGGCTGAATTTGTTGAAGATATTTACTCTAAGCACAGCTGTGGTAGCAAAACATACCATAAAAGAGTTTCCTAATCTAGTTCAGAATCCAAAGACTGAGCTAGCCCAACCCACCTTGGTCTAACTAAGCTGGCTTGCTTGCTTGAAGTTGATAAGTAGCAGTCACAAGGGTTTTGCTGGCAGCTGTGGGGGCAGTAACTGGGGGTGGTGAGAGCAGCTGAGACTGACACAAAGCTCTGCAAGCCTTGTCCAAGCTTCAGGCTATGGCGAGTTCCCTGACAAACAGAGTTTGTGCTCAGGAGTTTGTCTGGAATCCCAAAAACTGCGTGGTTTGAGCGTGCTTTAGCTGATCCTTGTGTTGCTTACAGGTTGTCTTCGGACGAAAACTTACATCCTTCTCAACAATAGCACTTAACCAGTTGCAGCATGAGAAGAAATACGACATTTATTTTACAGATGGAGATGTTTATGCACTGTACAGGTAAGTACTGGGATCTTTCCTGTAACGTATCCCTAAAGCAGCATGTTCTCACCTGCGTTGCATGGCAGGAAGTGCACGCTTTAGTAGAACAGTGTGGTTTTGTTTTGTGGCAGCCGTGCTGGGTACAGGTAGTCACCGTGGCGCAGGTAGCTGTGGGAGGCTGAGAGGCTGGAGCAGTGTGAGCGTGTGCCACCACATCGTCAAAGGCAGCAGCTCCTCAAGGCCGGAGGGTTGGATTCACCAATGCAGAACACGGAAGTGTTGCTCTGTCAATAAGTGTTGCTTTTTGCTTCTTTAGCAACAGCAGACTTGCTCAGAGGCTTTTAATTCCTTGCATGGCTGCTGTGGGAGTTGGTAAAGACTGAATTACTGTTGTAATTGTATTTATTGTTGTGTTGCATAAGGACTAATCGATACCAATTGTACCAAACATTGTATGAAAAGAAGACCAGCTTACAGAGATCTTAATCCTAAATAGGAGAGAATAAGGGTGAAGTAAAAAACCAATGCATGGTAAACAATGTGGCATCAGCATCTTGTTCTAAAAATATTTTTTTATAACGTGCTTAATTAGGAGGCTTGAAGATCAGTAAAAGCAGTTAAAAGGAGAGAAGAGTGAAAAAAGAGCAGTACCTCTTTGTAGGGGAATTGTGCATTATATCCTGCTTGATTTGGGCTAAGCTTTGATCCATTTACAGTTTTGCATGACTTCATATTTATGGAACTGGGCAATGGGTTTAGTGAGCAGAATCCATTGGAAGCACATTCTGATTAATTATACACCAGCTCTGGGAATTGCTTTTGATGATACGATTTCTGGTGAGATTACAGTTTCGTGGGCAACAGTTGAGTGCGAGGCAGTGGGGTCTCCCACTGAGACCAGTCCTCTGCCTTCAGCTCTTGTTGGGAATCATTATGGGGGGTTTTTTTGTTTGTTTTTTTCGCCGCTCCTTTTCTATTCTTTATCTCTCCCTACTGTATTCTTTTTCTGACAGTAGAAAGGGTAATTAAATTGAACGTGAATGTTGCATATATCAGCTGAATCTTCAATAAGCAAGGGTTCTGTTGCATGGATGGGCTACAGTCCACTCAGTTTTATAGTGGCGGGGTATTACTTACACTGTGACTGTTCAGCTCCTCACTTACAGTTGAAGCCTCTGTGTAATTTTCTTGTTTCCTTCCTGATATATGACAAAGTATTCTTGGAATAAGCAGGACTCTAACCTCATTACAGAGTGCTGGGGGAGCTATAAAAATGCAGCCTTCTGCCACTGGCAGAACATTTGTTTTCTGATAAAGGTATCGGGTTGCTGAGAGGGAGTCATAATTTTTAGGAAATCTTTCTTGTCCCTTAGGAAGCTGCTGCAGCACGAATGCTCTTTGTGTCCAGATGTGAAGCCATTCAACACCTTTGCAGATCTGGAACAGCACATGAGGAAGCAGCATGAGCTCTTCTGTTGCAAACTCTGTGTTAAACACTTAAAGGTGGGCTCGTTCTATTGTTTTAATGTGTGGGAAGGAGCTGTGCTTCCTTTTATGACCTGTAGGAGTATTTGGGGAGGCAGGAAGAAGGGGTGGCTGAACAGCACCCATTTATTTTTTTAAGTTTCTTCCATCTGCCTGCAGTGAGGCCAGTCGCTTTGTTGTCTTTTTCTTCATAAAATGATTAATGAAGATGGCCTGGAGGTTCTCAGTGGATTATATTTTAAATTAAACCCAACCATATTAATAAACTTCTGATGTTAGCTCCTCTGCCTCAACTTGTGTAAGTACCAAACCCTAAATGTCTGATAGAAGGTTAATACCAAGTCGCAGGCAGACTTTGTTACACCTGTAATGGTAGAGATTTGATGTCTGTTAAGACTTATACTTGTAATGACGTAGAGAGAGAAAGTAAGAAAGTACTTGGTGCCAGTTCAGAAAGCAGAATGTGTCATGAAGTGATGGATTTATTTCCCTGATCAATATAGCATTTACAGTTGGATCACGTACAGGATGGGAATCCATCTTGCTGGTTTAATGAAATACGATTATATTTCATTATCTTGTGTATTTGTTCAGAGCAAATTTCCTGTATCTTGTTGATTTGATTGTAAAATGAAACACACTCTTGCGCACAATTGAGGTCCGCTTTGTTTGATGTACGCAAGTAGAACGTGAGCAGGGGCTTTTTAAAAATGTATTTTACAATCTGCTAAAGATAAAACAGTTACTGGAAATCTGAGATGTCTGTGTCTGAAAAGGTAATGTGTATTGAGCCTTAAAACTACTCATTTTACCATCACCATCATCACCACCACCACCCCCTCTTTTTTTTTTTTTTAATTCAACCCAAATTTCACTTAGAAGGGCTGGTATTATGTCAACCAGGTGATGCTTTTTCACAGTCTGAAAGTCAGAATTCACCTTTCCCTGGAGCTAGAGTGGGTTTTGTATTTCTGCATTACATGTTGGACAAATTCAGTGGCTACTATTAAATGAATTCTAGGACCTCTGTGTCTAATAGTTGTCAGCATTCCTTATTGTTGTAGGAGGGAATTTAATGCATGAACGCATGTTTTTAGAACTCATTACACATGGTTTTGTATGTGTGCTTGTTTTCTCTGAAACCAGCTAAATGTCAAATCAGAGAAATGCATTTATCCTGGGATGCCACAGTTGGTTTAACCCAACTGAACTGTAGTTTACTGCTGAAAGGGATAGGATCCAGAAGTGATCAGGTTGACCTGAATGAGCGCAAATACGTTGGGTTTGGGATTTTTTCAGGGTTAGCTTTTAGTGAACTGATTTGACTTTCCTGCGGTCATGCAATCAGTAGAGCTAATTCAAAGGAAGTGGTTGGGGAGGACAAGGCTGCTTCTTTCTGTCACAGCATCCTTTGAGCTCTGGTGAAGGGCTGTTTCCACGGTCAGCTGAAGGAGCCAGCACTAAGGGGATTTTGTTATTGTCTGTCCCAGAGAATTCACAAACAGTATTAGAACTTGTTGGCTTTCAACTTCAGAATATAGTGGAGATTTTTATTTTGTGGAAAGAAAATGCCATATTACCAATACCCACTGAAAAAATCTCTTAAACTTGCAGAAGCTTCAGGCCTTCAGCCCAACTAAGCCAAATGAGCCTTTCCCCAGAGCAAGTTAGCAGTCTTTGTCTAGGCGAGAAATAAAGGACCTTCTGTTCTCAAGGCTGTGTTGATCTTTTTGGCGTCTTCAGAGCCCTTCCTACCAAAATAACTTGCATGTTAGTAGGGACAGAAGATTGACTTATAACACAAAATTTGTTGGCTGAGCTGTGTATGTATGTAGCTATCTTGAGGTAGTTGCTGTCTAAGGAAAGTCAAACAGCTCACTTCTTTTTTTTTTTTTTTTTTAATGGTTTATGTTTTTTTTTTTTAGTTTGAGTGTGCAGTATACTGTATGTTCATAAATACATATTTAGGAATTTTTTCCCCACCAGAAATTATAATTTAAAGTTTGTTGCATTATGTTAATACACACCAAAAAAAAAAAGCAAAAGGGAAAAAGGTGAATTAGATCTGCTTCCAGTGTTCCAATTGAGTAAAATGCAAGTCAGATTTATTTTGGACCTATAACTTGAATTTTATTTCCTATTCACTAAAAATTTTAGGTGTCAGTTGTCAAACTGCATCTTTCTGAAGCAAATCTTCCACTCCCACAGATGAACAAGTCGTGCACAACCTGGCTTACTCCATTTTGTTCTCTGTTCATGAGAAGTAATACTTATATAATATTTCTTCAGATTTTTACTTATGAGCGGAAATGGTATTCTCGTAAGGACCTTGCCCGTCACCGTATCCATGGAGACCCAGATGACACCTCTCATCGTGGGCATCCCCTGTGTAAATTTTGTGACGAGCGTTATTTGGATAACGATGAGTTACTGAAACACCTAAGACGAGATCATTATTTTTGTCATTTCTGTGACTCCGATGGCGCTCAGGAATACTACAGGTTTGTGCAAGCAGTTTATTCCTCTTTCAATAGCTTAAATTTTGAGGGAAAATTTGCTCAGGTCTGCTTGGAATTTTGGGGAGAATAGTGCTCAAAGACAGATTGTGAGAATGTGAGCAGGTTGGCTGCAGTTTCTCTTCTTCCTCGAGCCAATAGCCAGAGTAATCACTTTCTGTCTAGTTCATGTTTTAAAGCTCTCTTCATTAATGTTAAACGTAAAGTTACATTTTGCAGCATGGCAGCAGCTGTCTGCAGCTGTCTGGTGTGTTAGCTCTAATGTTCCAGAATTCGTGTGCAGAGCAGGTAGAGGCAAATGCTCTTTTATGAACCCCATGTCTCACATACAGATGGATTGATGACATGGGCCAGTAGATTTAGTTTAACACCTGGGATCGTGCATCAAGGTCTATGTTGACGGTGCACAAGTGGTGTCAGCTGGAAAACTTGCTGGGGGAAAAGAAAGAATCAACCATCTAGGTTTGTCTTTGCTTCATCTTGTAGGAGTAGCCAGATACCATTAGTAAAATGTATCGGGAAGGTTGCATCTCAGCCTCTGTTCTCTTTCCAGCGATTACGAATACCTTCGTGAACACTTCCGTGAAAAGCACTTCCTTTGTGAAGAGGGACGGTGCAGCACGGAACAGTTTACCCACGCTTTCCGCACAGAAATAGATTACAAAGCACACAAAACAGCCTACCACAGCAAGAACAGGGCAGAAGCCAGGCAGAACCGGCAGATAGACCTTCAGTTCACCTACGCTCCCAGGCACCAGAGGAGGAACGAGGGTAAGCGGGGCCTGGGGGGGGAGGTGGACAGGAACACGTTCATTCTTACTGCTTTGAGGGTTTTCAAGAAGAATGTTTCCTAGCCAGGAAGAAATTCTTTACAAGGAGGGTGGGCAAGCCCTGGGGCAGGACCCAGAGAGGTTGTAGAGTTTATCCCTGAAGATAACCAGAACTTGACCGGACAGGGCCCTGGGCAACCTGATGTGGTTTCAGAGTTGGCCTTGCTTTGAGCAAGGGGATGGAGCGGGTGACATCAGAGGTCTCTTCCTACCTCAATTGTTTTACAATTTTTTTCCCCCATGTATGGATTTAATGATGATAACATAATTTTAGGAGAATTGCTGACTTTGAATTTGTAATTACGTGAATGACTTCTCCTACAGTTAATACAAAGTGGTGATGAACATGGAGCTTGAGACCAGAATAGCATATCCACTTAGGAGGGCAGGGATCAACATACGTGTGAACTTTTTCTTCTGCGTGGAACTGTATGTAGAGAGGTCTCTGCATAAAACCAAAACTACTCAAAACTCACACCAGAGGTTACGATACAGGGAATCCATATGCTTCAAAATGTATTTTAATGGAGCAATTCTGCAGGTTATATAGCCTACTTAATCATCATAAAGAAATCGAGATAGATTTGTTTGTACTAGTATATTTTTTGCTTCTTTCAGATTAGAGAAATAACTTTGAGTGTGACCCACCATCTCTCCTGTTTAGGTGTTATAGGTGGAGAGGACTATGAAGAAGTTGACAGGTACAACAGGCAAGGGAGGTCGGGCAGGTTGGGCAGCCGAGGAAGTCAGCAAAACAGAAGAGGCAGCTGGAGATACAAGAGGTGAGTAGCACAACATTTTGTGGATTTTTATTGCTGCTTAGTGTTTTTTTTTTTACTTAATGATGTTTTTGTAGACCATTAGGAAGGAAGTGGTTACAAAGTTTGGAAGCCTCCATAGCGAATCCTTAGTTGAGAGTAGAACTGGCTTTTCAGTCTAGGCCTGCGTGCTGACTGCATGCTTGGTCAAAGTGAAATTGTTTTGTGTGTGAGGTTTCAGCTCTCTGGACTTGACACAGGAAGCAATGAATGTAATCCTCAATTTGTGGGTAAAATAAACTCAGAATCCTAAATTAATTTCAGCAACTGTTTTTATGCTAGCTTTTCTAAATAGGATTTTCTGCAGTAAGTGTTTGCAGGTTTAATGGACTTTTTGGTCTGGGTACTCATGAAGTTCCTATTCTAAGGACCATGCTTTTCATTGAACTAACAGATCTCTGGGTGGCCAGACTGAGTGCTTTGGAAAAAGAAGAGGGTTAAGTATTGAAATGAAATTTTGCATTTATATGTCTCTTCATCCACACAAGACCCGAGTGCTTTATACATACTGCACATCTATTTTTCTTCTTTTTCTCGCTGGACAGTCAGCTGGTTCATTACTGGTGATTTCACTGGGGGAAAAAGTCCATCTCTAAACACTTGTACGTTGGTGTCGCATGTGGATCGTGCATGTGTTGAGAGCTCATGACAAACCATGTTCCAAAGAATTCCTGTGGCCTACAAGTATGATATCATAAGTTTGAAAAGGGATGGGAGAGACATGTGTCCCCATGCATCCTTGGTACTGCTTCTCCCAGTTCACCCCAGTTTCCTGTGGCCTGGGTTGTTACTACCATGTGTAGAACTCGCGGACCCAGGGGGTGGATGTTGCCTGTCCCACCAGCCAGCGCAGGTTGTCCTCAAGTGGTGGGTTGGGTGCAACCTTCTCAGCAGGTGGCAGCACGAGATCGGGGACGGGCATCGGAGCTGGCACTGGAGAGCTGAGACAAAGCTGCTGGGTAATCCTTAGTGTTTGACCAAGAAAATGTGCCCTGTCCTACAGGGAGGAAGAAGACAGAGACGTTGCGGCAGCAGTTAGGGCATCTATGGCAGCTAAACGGCAAGAAGAGAAAAAACGGGTAGAAGACAAAGAGGAGAGCAGTAGTAGAGGTAAAAAGGAGGACTTGAGGGATTCTGAAGGGCTCAGCTCCAAACGTGTGCCAAAGTCATCCGGTGATGCTGCAGGTGAGTGTTGAACATGTTCTGTGGCGGCAGGGAGGTGTGATGGCTGTGGAGATGGGCCTGGCACAAGTGGGAATGGTTGTGCCTCGTTCTCCAAAGCTGGTGGATGTGGATAGAGCTGGGCTCTTAAGCCAGCAACACGGATTTGCAGTGGAACGTGTCCAAGGGGACTGGGACTCTTGCAGCAGGTTCTACTTGAAGCAGAGCTGGGTAGAAATCCCCGATGCAATTAATGTATAAAAGTATGGTGTGATGTTCCATCTAAATCAATATAATCTGAGAATGTGCCATTTCCTACCCTGGCATGCCAGAACTGATTTATTGTGATGCTTGCGCTGCGTTTCCCCTTTTCTGAGAACAAGTTATTCCCAGTTCATAACTGGTGAAAGCAGACCTTTAACTGTTTTGTTCCAGGTCCAGTTTGGAGCAAATAAATATGATGCAGTGGTGTTTTGGTGTTACTGTTGCTCCAAATCCATTTTCCACCGTTTTCTGCTCCTACAACAGGATTTCCACTTAAAGATTATACGCTCTCATTATGAACTGAACTGCTGAGAGTTCCGTTTGGTTAACGGGTATGGCTCATTTGGGGATGACAGCCAAGGTTCTCTCCCCCAGCTGCCTGCCCAGCTTTTGCTGCATGTGTGTTGGAGCTGTTACCAATCTGTCCTTGTGCAGCCCACAGCAGAGGGTTTGGGTTAAGGCAAATCTAAATTAGGAATGAGTTATGTTTTGATGTAAAATGACCGCCCAGGAATTAATTGCTGAGCAGCTCGGGCATCTGTGCAGCAGAGGTGTGATGGAGGGCTCAGAGGAGCAGCGTTCCGAACAGAAAGGCGTTGGTGTAGATCTGTGGGAGCACCCAGGCACTGGTGAAGACCCTGACCCTGTGAGGCAGTGGGTGCTAACCTCTGGTAGAAGCATGGAGCAGGCAGCTAGGGCAGTGGCATCTCCGTCTCTGGAGGGTTCCCTCCAAAATGCTTGTCAGCCAGTGTTTTGCTCATGTTAAGTATCATGAATTTCCCGTATGCTCCAGCCAGTACGCAGTGACATAATGGTGAATGCAGTTAATTGAAGGAAAGAGTGATGCATGGATTTAAATAGTCCTTTTGGAATGTCACAGTTAATGACATCATCAGCTGCTGAAAATAGAACTTGTTAATGCTGCTGTCATGTTCATTGATAGCTTCCACTCTGAAATGAATGGATTTTAGCTGAAAACATTTCTTTGCTCTTTTTGTCAATACTCCAAAAGAAGCAGCTGCTAATGGTGCTTTGAGCCAAGATGACTTTCCAGCAATTGGTTCAGCAGTGGGACCTCTACAAGGGTAAGTTTGTGCAAGGCTGCAGCAGTGAGAAAGCAGATTTAGAAACTTTACTTATGTTCTACATTTCTGGAGAAAATAATTTTACAGATCACTGAGAACTACAAACGCTTCCCCCCTTCCCTGGTCCCCTTCTGCTTTGAGCTGTTTCTGTGCTTGTCACCTGCATGAACAGCCTTGATAGTTGCTTCATTTCATGGCTTGATCTTTTGGTGGTGCACTGTCAGGGAAATTCTCAGTATTCTCCATTCCAGCCATTTTTAACTCGATAGTTTATCTTGAAGGAGATGTATATTGTGAGGTTTAAAATTCTTCACCATCTGAAAGGGGTGATGATGAGAAGAGCGGCTTTGTAGGATGCGGCAGCTTGAGCACACCTGTGTCGTCAGCTCAGGGTCAAGGTGGGGTGTGCTGAGAGCATGGCCGGGCTGGGGTGACTTCCTCGAGCAGAGCCAGACACCGGTTACAAGCCCGAGTGCGTTTGCATTCCGTTAACGTGTCCCTTGTGCCACCCCCAGTGATAGTTCGAGGACGAGTGCAGATAGGAGCAGAGCTCGTTCTGCCTGTTGGAGTTGTGGTGCCTCTGCAGCACCGGTGTAATGGGTTGTGCTTCTCCTTCCTCACAGCTCTGCCCAGCTATCGGCAGTTAAGCTTAAAGAAGAAGATTTCCCAAGCTTGTCATCCTCTGCAGCACCCACCATCTCTTCTGGGATGTCTTTGACTTATACAGCAACTGCAAAGAAAACGGCTTTTCAAGAGGAGGATTTTCCAGCTCTGGTGTCCAAAATGAGGCCTAACAATAAAACAGTAACTAACATCACGTCTGCATGGAACAATGGTTCCAGTAAAAATGTGGTCAAAGCCATTAGCAACCCCTGTGTAAACCAGATAACCAAAAAACCATCCTCCTTGAGCAGCACTAAAGGAAGTAAGAAGAGCAATAAACTCTCTCAGTCAGATGATGAAGATGGCAGCGGTGGCTTGACAACCCAGGAGATCAGAAACACGCCAACAATGTTCGATGTATCGTCCTTGCTGGCAGCTTCTACCTCACAAACTTTTACGAAAGTGAGCAAGAAAAAGAAGATGGGGGTTGAGAAGCAGAGACCGTTGTCCCCACACCCATTACAGGAGACGTCATTTCCCAGGACGTCGGCGGAGAAGCTTCCGGAAGCGGAGCAGACATCGAACGCATCCTCTGCTCTTCACACCCCTGACAGATCTGCCACGGTCCTGAATGGCCATTTGGAAAAATCGTCAGTGGTCTGTAGTACACCCAAAGAGCCCCCTGGCCTTAAAAAGCCCACAGTGACTAAGAAATGCCCTTTACCTCAGGAAGACTTCCCAGCTCTTGGGAGCTCAGGATCTGCTCGAATGCCCCCGCCACCAGGTAAGTGCCACAGGGCACAGCCAGCTTTGCTCAGAGGTGGCTTTGAGTCATGTGGCAGGGGGATGAAATGTGTAAAACTGCCCCTCCTGGCTCTGAGGTGAGGAGCAGTTCTGCCACCCCGGGCTGGTTTAGGCTTTGAAGTTCCAAAAAGCAGTCTGGGTGATGCAGGTGGGCTCTGGAAGAAGCAGTGGCAACGCTGGGATCTCCGCAGGTGTCTGCTCCCTGAGGGTGGCTCATAGATGAGCAGCTGGGCTTTACCTGTCCTTGCTTTTATGATGAGTCAGGGCTGACACGTCTGTGCTTTTGTGTGCTTTAAGATGCAGTTTGGAAGCTCCTGCGGGCAGAGGGAATCTCTCTGTAGCTGTGACCTGTGCCCGCTGGTACTTGTCACTTGGCTTGATTGGTCACTTCTGTTGTGTCTGCGGAGATTTAATGCCTTTGCTTTTAGCAGCACTGTAATCTTGTAAAACTGGAGTAACATAGCAACAAACGTGACTTAGTGCCTTAATGAAAGTGCCATCGCGTCAGCAGATGCTTGTGTAGCTGTTCTGTGCTGCTCTGCAGATGCTGCTGGGTGGCGTGTGCTGGAACCTGCCATGCCTAGTGCTCTTGGGTCTGTGTTTCTGTTCACTTTAATAATGTCAAAGTGGTTTTCATCGTGCATTTGAGGGTTTTTTAAAAACTCTTTTCTATTGAAAAAGTAAACTAATAATTAAAGCACTTTGTAGAGTGTAACATCAGCTGCTATGAAGTGCTACTTGACCTGACTCTTAAGGCAGCAGATTTTCACCTCTCTAAATTTATTCTTTTTCCAGTATAGTGATGTCTGCACCACTGGCTCTTCTTAGTGCTTCTGGAGAGTATGTCAGACCACTGGTGTTAATTTTAGTTGGTGGTATGTGGGTGCCACAGATAAATGCTCTAACTTCTGCCTGTTCTCTGCTTTAATTTAGGCTTTAACACTGTGGTGCTATTAAAGAGTCCTCCTCCACCTCCGGGACTGTCGGTGCCTGTTAGTAAACCCCCTCCAGGTTTTGCTGTTATTCCATCCACCAGTATCTCTGAACCTGTCACTACATCTTTGAAAGAGTAAGTAAAAGCCCTTTGAATAGGGGATACTTGACACATTCCATCTCAGTTAAGACATAAGGGCTTCAAACAACAGGAAATACCCTGAGGGGATAGTTCTAAAGGGTCGGTTCCTGCTGGGGAGTCCCCTGACCCTCATGGGCTGGATTCAGGAGAGTTTTTGTAAAAGAAGCACAAGTGTTGTGTGGATGCAAGTCTGAGGAAGTGAAAACCTGTGTGGTGTGGCAGCTCAGACCTTTGTCTTTTATAGATTTATTTGGAAGTCGGCAACTTCAACGTATTTCTTAACCTTTCATTGGTTCTGTCTGAGTCCCAGAACTAAGGTGCTAAAGGACCTTTTCCTTGGTGATCTCTAAGTGCCTTCATTGTTCTGAGCTTTCCGGTAGCTGGTCTCTGGCTGGGGCCCTTCTGGGCTGGAGAGAAGAGTTTATGGGAAAAGGGGAGGGGAAAATTCGTGTAAGTTTAATGCAGAGACCTGTATTAACGTGTTTGGTTTTATTCATGGTGCAGTCTTTGTTGCTCACGTCTTACCAAGCTTAGCTTACAAAATGGTTAGTCAAGGCTGTGTTAAACTTGCGTTTTAAATATTCTGTCTGGGTAAAGCTGGAATCTGATCGAGTAATCCCCCAGGAGACATTTCATCGTGCTGTCAAGGTAGCCCCATGCTGCCCACAGTAAGTGCACGTGTAGTTGGGTGGAGAAGGGGCGTGTGTGTCCTCCGGTGGAGAACAGTTGTGTAACAGATTCCCTGGCATCTTTGTGTGACACAAAGCATGGTCAAAGTCACTTCTGGTCTTTCCAAATGCAGGTCAAAATCCTGTCATGGATCGTACTTGATACCTGAAAACTTTCAGCAAAGGAACATTCAGCTAATACAATCTATTAAAGAATTTCTTCAAAGCGATGAGTCCAAGTTCAATAAATTTAAAAGTCATTCTGGGCAGTTCAGACAGGTGAGTGGGCAGGAACCTTCCTCTCTGGGAGAGAGTGAATCCCAGTGGGATTTTTTTTTTACATAGATACTTTCTTCTAATTATTCCCATTCTCTTTTCACTGAAGGGTCTGATTTCTGCAGCACAGTATTACAAAAGTTGCCGAGAACTGCTGGGAGACAACTTCAAGAAAATTTTTAACGAGTTGTTGGTGTTGTTGCCGGACACAGTTAAGCAACAAGAACTGCTTTCTGCTCACAACGATTTCAGAATCAAAGAAAAACAAAGCTCAAACAAATCCAAAAAGAACAAAAAGAATGTTTGGCAGACGGACTCCAACTCTGATCTCGACTGCTATATCTGCCCAACGTGTAAGCAAGTACTGACTCAGCAGGACGTTGTCACCCATAAAGCTTTGCATATCGAGGATGAGGAGTTCCCGTCCTTACAGGCCATCAGCAGAATCATCAGTTAGCTTTCTCGAAGACCAATAAAACAATAAAAAGTCTCTCTCTCTCTGGATCTGCACTTTTTGGAATGAGGTTTGGCAGTGTCGCGTGGCTGAGCGCCGGTGCCAGCGGAGCGGTCGGGTCCCTCTTAGAGCCCTCTCAGTGCTGTTGGTCGAGGCCGGGCGAAGGGAGCCCCAGCCTGCGCTAACGAACACCCGAGCGGCCCCAGCGCCCCAGGGAGGCCGGAATGGCTGTGGGGGCAGGCAGGGCACCTTCCTCCTGTAACAGGCAATAGCTGAGAAAATCCTTTCTGATCTGAAGACTGAAAGGGGACACAATAGGGGAA